TAATTAAAAGCCAAACCAAAGTGAAATATAAAATAAACCGAAAGCAAATGTCAAGAAAATACTAATTTTGTCAAGGTTGCCCGAGTTCTAACAATATCTAGCCTTAACAAACCTTGTTTAAGAAAAAGGAAGAGAAATGTTCCCTCGACCACAATAAACTTTTGAAATCAAGTCTATGTTCTAGCTCATGTTTTTGTTGCTTTATTGTAAGGTGCTTTTCGGCTTAAGAAATTAGATACTTCAGAAGTTTTCTTTTTTTTCTTTTGTGTGTCTGTGTGCAATTAGATTCTTTAGAGACCTATAGCAGGTTGCAATTTAGATGCTCAACTGCAGAATCAATTTATAGTCTTGAAGATGGTTATATTCTAAAAATACAATACCTCAGACAAACACAAGATCATCTGTTTCACATTTTCCCTGATTATATTCAAAAAAATTATGCGATATATTGTTGCACTGCATCAAAACCTACTTCGGATTCCTTTTAAGGAATTCAAGTAAACTCTGAACCTAGTATTGCTATTACTCCATTTCGTTCCATTCCTCCCACAAAAGAGTTGGTAGAAAATATGGCAATGGGAATATCTAATAGCTGACTCTTCAAAACCAACCCATTCTCTTCTTTACTAATATTGAGTTCATGAATCACTACAGAAAAAGAATCACCGTAATTAGGGATATGGGTAAACCAAACAACAGTTAAGATAAAGACCTTAACCCTATGATGAAAAAAATTTGGAGATTCTTAATAACTGGAAATTTATTGCTCTAATGTTACAAAATAATTAAATACATTACTACTAATGCAGTTAATTATGATGGACATGTTCTGTTGAGTGGCAAAACCCAACAATATAGACAAGCTCAACCAATTTTGATGAAAAAAATTACTCTATTAACCAAGCTAAGGTTCATTCAAAATATTCTTTTTCCTTATTTTTTTTCAGAGGAAAAGAGATAGGGTGAAAATAATATAGCTAACCAACATAAAATAATAACGATAATAATAACAATCCCTGACTCAAGGAAAAATTAACTTGTGAAATAATAATAATAATAGTCCATGACACTATACATAGAAAGATCAACTTGTGAAATTAGAGAATTTCTTCTACCTTTGTCTCACATTGGATCAAGGCTAAGTAGAAGTACTAATGTTTCAACCTGTACCAAAAGAGTATAACCGAACTCTATTATATTTGATAGAAGATAAAAGATGATTATAAAAACATTCAAGTTTCATAGAACAAAACTTGCAAGTACAACTTTAACATGAATAAAAATTAAGTTTCTAACAATAGATGTAAATAGACTATAAGAAAAATAGAATTAACTAAAACAGATAAAACAATCAAGACTTTATTCCAAGTTTCCATTCACATACAAAATCAAAACCATACAAAAGTAAAAAAATCAATCCCACCTCTCATTAAAGACATTATTCTGAAAACAATAGAAAGAAAAAAAAATCTATAAAAAAAAAAAACCAAAGAAGGAAAAGCATATAAAAAGTAAAAAACATTGAAAGGATCCCACCTCTCCTCTTGCTTCCTTTGCCTTGGACCTCTCAAAAATCCTCTAAGAAAAATAGAAACAAAAGAGGAACCATACCAAAAGGAGAGCAAAAACCAAGACATACAAATATTTTTGTTAATTAATCGATAGAAATTACTAATAACAGATAGATTGGAGGTTTTCCAACCTCTTGGAGATATGGTTTGCCAGGAACAGAAGTTTTTTCCCATCCATAAGCTTAGTTTGCACTCTGAAGAACTAATTAATCAAAAACTACTAGAGACATGTAATTTCAAGTGGTATATATATGCTAGAACTCATCACACATGATAGATGGCAATGAAAATCCCAAAATTTCTTAACAGGAGAATAAGAAAAACATGACTAAATAATTCAAAGGTCATCATATTCCATAAAGAAGAAGCAAATAGAAGAATGAGCTTCTGTTCCAAGAAATTCATCAAGTTTGTTCAGAATAAGTTGCAAATTTAGAAGAAAAAAATAAAGAAAAGCAAAATGGATCTGATAATTATGAGCTCAAGGTTCAGCTTCATTGATTTCTGTTTTAAATTTCTTTGACAATGATACAAAGATCTGACAAAACATTTTATTTCATTCTTTTACATTAACGTAGTAAGATCCACATTTTTTTCCCTAAGAAATGAAATGGAGTCATTGAAATTGCTTTTGTAGGTTGAGAGGCACAATTGTGAGGTCAAACTGCCTGTCGAAAGTAAAAAATAAAAATAAAAGACCATCATTACAAAAACTCTTGAATAATAATAATAATAATAATAGTTGACATTAATTTAGGCCGGCAATTAACATTTGTAATCCTAAAACCAATCTAAAAATTGTTTTCTTCAAATATACATTTAAATCAGAAAAGTTAGCATGTATCCTTATTGAAATATCAAAATTTTCTTATAATTAAGCACCAAATAGAAAATCATGAGTAAAATTAGTTCATAATCATGTTTGAATTTTGCAAGGATTAAGGTAGTACCTTTTGTCAATTATTATGTTTGCTACCAACTGTTGTGCTTGACTTACAGCAAAGGAAGCACAAAATTCATTGGACTTTGACAATTCCTTGGAATGATCAGTTTTCAAAGATTCTGTTCCATTAATATCAATTTGCTCAAACCAAATTCTGGTCCTATGATAGCAATTTTTTTATAGAACATAAAAAATAAAATAAAATAAAATATACATCAAGGAAACAATGTTTATATGAAATAGAACCCCAAATTATAAAAAAGGATACGGAAAATGAAATTATATGTACCATGGATTTATCAAGGAAACAAATCCTAGGATTCTCCATTACATGATCTCAAATCCTTCTTTCAGTTATTGTGTATGCTAGGGTTGTACCGCAGCAAGACTTGTATATAAGTTCACTACATTCACATCAACAAAGTGTCAAAATTTATTTACTTTTCTACCTTTCATAGGGTGACTAAATGCACAGGAATTGAAAACAAATTCGCCTCAGGCAACCAGAAGTATGAAATTGAACCCAAATTATAAAAATAAATAAATAAATTGAAATGCTTTGTACTTCAGACTCACCAAACATGACGACCTCAAAACCCAGAACTGGAAGTGAAAACGGGTCTCGAAACCCATCCAAAAACAAAATCTACCAACAAAAATTGATTGGCATAGCAGTGGCATCTGGAAAAGA